TGCAAAGATTGCCAATACCATCCGTAATTTTTGACAGGAGATCGGGACACCGATGCAGTGTCCGCATCGACGATGCAGTCTCCGACACCGATCGAACTTGCTTTGCCAAGGATCCCAGGAAAGGGAAATGACAAGATCGAAAGGGGCGATGGGGTGAAGGTTCAGGCTATTTCAGGAAGCCGTAGTGATTACGCTTCGGTCGCCAATGAGAGCTTATCTCGCCGCCTTGTAAAGAACTGTCTATATATACGTAGCCATTACTGGCTGCGCGTGGAGCAACCCCCTTGCCTTGTACCTTGCCCCCCCTCGGCCAGGCTCCGCGACTAAACTCCGTCAACCTCGGTAAGTTATTACGTCGTGAAAATAAGGAGAAAATTGGAAAGCGGTTTAGCCGTGAAAGTGGTGTCAATTACTGTCGGTGTTCTCGATACCGGCTAAGGTTCCTACCCATCTCAGGATGTCTCGACGTCGCGATCAAAGGACCTAACCTGATTTAGGACCTCGAGATGCAAGGAACAGCCAATATACTCATATAAATAACAAATTTCGAACGACCAGTTAAAGATCAACAATTTTTGAATCTAATATTTGCTCAACGAAATATACAATCGGAACTAACTGTGTTTGGTGTTCCGTTTAAATCGGAATGGTTGAATATCTCATGAGGGGATGATGTCATCAAAAAATGTTTTTACAGAAATCATTTGGTTTAAACGGACAAATTTGGTATCGGAAATAATTTTATCGTAATGACAGAGGAGAAAATTTAAGAAATAAATTAATTTTTTTTAATAGAAACTCATTATTTTTGTTTATAATAAGATAGGATTTCTTTGGCCAAATTCATCAACCTATAGTACGTAGTCCTTTATTTTAATGTACTTATAAAAGTTATTTCACGTTCGTACATCTAAAAATGTTAAACTCGCAGTCAATGATTACTTCTAACTACGAGCAAGTGTCTACGCGATGTCTGACTAGTAACGTCCTTTTCTACTGTGGACTGCATCTAGACATTCTAGACGCAAGGCAAACGTTTGAATCGATGATCACGAATTGAAGTTTCTAAAAATTATTTAACAGACCTTCTTATCTCTTCTGTATGAAGATCCTAGAACCTCCAGTGTGAATAATAATAATATTAATATTAATATTGCGTTTTTAACGCATCGATAATGTCTAAACTGAAATGAAGTATTTAAATGACAGACGGAAAGGAGACAAAGAATAAAAAAGGAAATTAATGTATACAAGTCCAAATAATTATGCAAATATAACTTGGAAACAATATCATATTACGTAAAATAATTATTATGATAGAAAACAGACAAAAGTGAACACGGTAGAAAATAAAACCTATGATAGTAAATCGTTAATGTTAAATGTACCAGAAGAAAATCGAGGACAAGCAACGAAGACAGAATTCAATGTCCCCGTCGCGTAGCGTTAAATCGCTTAGTCATTCTCGTGACAGATAATATTTATCCACGTCTGAGGCAACCATCAATAATGTAAGTTAGGCCTATATAACAAGTTTTAGAAACTTCTCAACTTACTAAATATATTTGTATTGAGCAGCTCGCAAGACCGACACGAACTAAGAACATTGATGACAATGAATTTGCTTTCAAGGTCTTCAGCCATTCACAAATAAATAGAACAGTGACTAAATAATAGGGATGGGACTATTCGAATAATCGAATATCATAATATCCGGATAACGACGTCCCATTTTCATATCGATTTCATGGTTAAATTGATTTTTAATCACAGAGTCGTAAGTCTTTGTAAAAAATAGTATTTCTCAATTCACTAGGGATACAAATTGTTCTGTGATAAAATCCAGCTATGCTCCTTTTATGCTGAGGTATATTAATTTTTTATATCTAGATATCCTGATATCGATATAATATTCGGTTATCTGAATTTTGTATTCAGTTATACGGATATTTGAATGCCCAGGTTATTCGGATAGTACAAAAATCCAGATAAAATTCTCAACCCTCCTAAATATCCCGGAAAGCTGTTCTTTGACAGTAGCTACGGTCATTAGTGTCGCGAATCCAGTCATTCCAGTGTTTTAACAATTTTTGTACAAATAGTGACGAAACGAATTTGCTAACTATATCGGGGAACATTGACGCGACGACAATGAAGCCGACAACGCAGAAGAAAATGGAACCTGCGCGTTCATCACGGTGATGAAAGGGCACCCGTCCCACAGCTGACACGCCGCGGAGTCAAACCGTCAATCATCGCGGGACACCGACTTTATTGAGATAAAAAGAGCCACCCATTGGCTCTGTTGCGGATAGGCCTGGCGGTAATGATGCTTCCAGGAAGAGGGAAATCCGGTCATCGATCGAATCTCCTTCCCGTCAACCTTCCGGTTCGGTTTTGTCGTCGGCGCGCGAATAAAGGAACTAACGCGAGGCCGCGCGAAACCAGAACGATTTCAGGTGTCGCATTCGCTGTGATCGATGAACTCCATCAATAATTTGCTGTTCGCCACCTGCGAATGGACGTGGACGCCGATGAAAGGGCAGAGAACGATGGAAGGGTTGGCGACCGCCGATAGAGGACAAGGTAATCGCAGAAATGTCTGCGTGGAATATCGGCACCTGTTGTCCCTTGAACTGACCAAACGTCATTTACAGGGATCGTGTCTTCCCCCGACGTTCGACAATCGCGGTTTGCGTTCGATTGATCGTCAATTTCGATTGGTCGATGTTCCCTTTCCACTTGCCGAGAGTTTTCACTCGATAAATGAATAGCGAGCTGTGATTTATATATCATGTATCGTTTGTTACCATTATATTTTAATCATCTTAGATTATTGTACCCGAAGATGACCAGAGGATTGCCAGAATTTGGTCAAAAACATTTCTATAAAATATCGTTACGAGCACCGTGTATACATACTGGATAATCATGGGCTGCCGTGACACTTCGAAGATTTAGAAGACGGAATTTCGTTTCGTAAAACTTTGGTCGGACTGCATGGATAGCAGTCAGTAGTATAGTATAATTCTCAATTCTCAATTCTCTAAAGCTGTTGTTAATTGATATGAATGAAGAGGGAGAGACACCACGACGGCGTAATAATATCTTGAAAATGACAATATCTTGTTTGACCAAAGCAATTTAATTAAAATTCACGTATGTATCTTACCGTTACGAACTCATTAATTTTTATTATAAGAAGGAACCGCGAACGAATAAACCATGCGAGTATTGTAATTTCAGCTTTCTTTCAAACTGGAAATATCTCCACAACTAACAATTTCATCGACAAAGCATTCAATTTCCGTTGAATTCGGTTTGTTGAAAGTAGTGAACATTCGACGAAAAGAAAATTGTTCGCGCATGCCGTGGAATTTGGTAAACGCGTCGCGTGATCGTTACGGGAATGGTTTTGTGTAAACGTACGCAAACAGTGGCCCCGAATCACAGTGAAAACAGAAATAAGAAACATGTCTGATAAAATGTACCGTGTTGAATAATACTGAAAATATTCGAGCGAAGAAGCAGGTTTTCAGGGTCTCAAGGAGCACCCTGTTTTTGCATTCAGATGTGTACTTGGACTAAAGTTTAATTACGAAACGGGAACTAGGTTAATCACTCGCGATTCAGGGGTTTTAAATGAGAAGCATTTCTCTTGTTGTCGATTCCAAACGTCCAACAATATCAGGCCACTTGCGAATCTTTTGAAACGAATAACGTACAATAGGACTGGCACTGAAATTTGCGTATAGATTAAAAATGAAAACATACCATAATTCTAATCCTTTGCCCTCTTTATTTCATAACATTTCTCTAATGTTTTGAGTTGTACAGACTAGCATTCGCTACAATGCATTCTGTGAAAATACTGAAACTATTATATGAAAAACAAGTGCAATTATTTTGTAAACAGTGAACACTACGTGTATACAACGAATTTATGAATAAAAAATTGTTAATGAAAATGAAAGCCACTCAATTTTATTTATAAAACATACATTCTTTTAATACATATATGTATGTATATCATGTATAACTTTTCATATATAAAAAACTGTAACAAAAATTTAATTGGCTTCAAAAAGAGTACTAAAAAAAATTTATTAATTTTCTAATACAAAAATTTCGAATAACTGCAAATCCAATATAATATTTCAATTATATTATTCATGTGACTGATGGAAAAAATTGTTTAACTTTCTTTAGTTCTGTTTTTAATGGGTAATTTTTGAAAACAATTATTTTATTTTGTACTTTTTAGTTACTTGAGAAAATTTTTGCTATTTTCCAAATTACGTAACTGCTCCTTTTTGAAATCGATTCAAAATATACATAGTTTCACTTTTCGATCTAACTTTCTTAACTTACATACGTGTAGTTTTATTTTCACTCTATTTTCAAAGACCAAATATCGAAGCCCAAATAACCACGAAAAATTGTAAACGTTTTGAAAGTATGGTACATTACGAAGTCGAAAGTTCTCCGACTAAAGAAGCTTGAGTAGCAACGATAGACAATCATTTCCTAGAAACAAACGACGCTCGTTCTCAGCGCCTCGAAATTTCCACGACCGAATACGTGGAATAAATCCAGAGTATCAAGGTCCGCTTGCTGTACAGTATTTTCCCGGTTTTCATTATTTATCGTGAAAATTTACGACGGACCTCGAACTTCGCGAGACGCGAGCCATTCGCCAACCTAATTCGTACGCTGGATTTAGCGAGGGCACTCGTCTCCATTTAAAGTTTATGATGAACACCAGCTCGATATTTCAGTTTGAACCGACTACGACTGGTCGTTCTCGGGGGGGAGAATTAAAACGTTCGCTGTGAAATTCCGGTTTTCGAAGGAAGTCCTCTTTATGCATGCGAGCGCGCGTGCGCAAGACCGCTCGTTATCGTTATTTATTTAGCCAGCTTATGAGCTTTTGTTAGATTCAGCGATCCACCTAAATCACTATTTAAACTTTATGATAAACCGCTGCCCCGGGTACTAACCTGTGGGCGTACATGGTGTTCTCGCTGCTTCCACGAGGTCCTCGCGACTTCCGGGCGGCGCTTCCAGCATTGTTCCGCTGCCGGAGAATTTCTTCACGCACAGCAGGCTCAACGCTGGAACGAGAAAAGGGAACCTTGTTGATACAAATTGAAAACTTGTTGTTTCTCTTGTGCTTAGAGTATGCAGGATGAAATTAACCCTTTGAGTGGCAAGGAGCGTTACATCGCTCCTCCATGCACTTGCAAAAAGGGCCAAGAGCGATATATCGCTGCTCAAAGCTGTACGTGCTGTAACTCATTAAAAAATCAATTTTGTTTTACGAAAATAATGTCAATGTCTAATGCACATAGATTTATTTGTGCATTTCAATTTTATTTCAAATCCGCAATGCGTATAATATATTAGAGGAACCAGAAAGTAATGTCATTTCTTTTACATTAAATTCAAATAAATAAATTTATAATATGTTTTTATTTTTAATCAATTATGTAATCGCCTTCGTTATCAACAACCTTGACATGTCTAAAAACAAGAGCTTATGAATTAGAAAATTTCTATGTTTCTCAATTACGAAAATTCATTTGTGTCGTACAAGATAAACCATCGAAAAAGACATGATAAATTAAAACATTTTGTGCCTAATACTTTACGAGACAACAATTCGCAAATATTACATATTTTCTGATCCAGCAAAGCAGGAACTCTTCTTAAGCTTTGGATTACAACGAATTAGTTGCACTGTTCTTTCCTTACATTCGTCGACCTCGTTATGTTCGCGGTATTACCAGCGGATTAGATTTACCTTTTACGATAAGAGACGTACTCCGAAGTAAGAAACTTTTCCACTCGCAATAATCCGGCTTCTGTGATAAGCCGCCGAGTAATTATTAAGGAAGCTCAAACGGGTATACAAAGGGAATTCTCGATTGGATGACCTTCTGTGACCGCGACATAATTAAGATCTCGGCGCTATAGGGAGCGCGGGGCGTTTTTAGTGAGGGTAACTGGCTTACCGTCCCACGCAACTTTCACAAGAAACTCGAACAACTAGTTTACATATTTATAGGAACAGTCGGTCTCTCGAGAATTCAACAACTATCCTTAAAATTCAGTCTCACTTTGAGGAAGGCTGAAAGAGATCGCCTGATCGATATTCGTTATGCAGGATTCTTGAGGAATGGGGAGGTTAAGTTTCGATTGACGCGCGTTGTTGGTAATACACATTATATTATTGTATTTAAACTGATATTACACTTCCGAAATACACTTTCTAACGCTCTGGTACACACCTCACTCGCCCGCCGAACTTTCACGTCTTAAATATTCTTTCACCCCCTTGCATTAGTCTCGCTTGTACTCTGTCTCTCGCATCTATGGTTTACTCTCGTACAAAAACTTATACTTTCCTATGGCCCAGTTGTAAAATTAAACCTACCGACATTTATCTTTATCTATTTCTACTGTGATCAATTAAATAACTGGCCTTAAATAGATTATTTTCAATTGCATGCAATAATATTTCACATAATACTAAATTCAATAATACATGAAACAATCATGTATAATTTTTATATTGTATATAAGAATTTCATTAAAAAAAACATTTGTATCAATCCAACAATCATAATGAGTATCTCGGACAACTGTATGGAAATGGTAAAAACGATTTCAAGAAGGTCAGGAATCGTTAGGTGATGATCACAGGAGTAGTACTCCCTGAACAAGTAGCAGCGACAGATATGTGCAACGTGTTCGTGACCTTCTTGTTAAAGATCGCCGTGTGACCTCCAGGATGATAGTGGAATTGAATATCAGTAGGCCACAAGTACTCGTTTTATTACACGACGAATACGTGGAAGTATTCGAAGAGTCAGATTTGTACCGAAGTAATTTGTTGTCATAACTTATTAAAGAAACAGTATGTTGAAATAGAAGCTCGCTTCATCGCGCTTGCTCACACGCGCTTCGTTAATACTGAATGTAAATTGAATGTAAGAGTATTTCATATGATACTAGACTGAATGATGCATGAAACAACTGTATACAATCCATATGTTGTATATAAGAACTGTATACAATAGCTTGAAAACAAAACCTGATTTAGTGTTAACAATTGCCATTGACCCTAGACACTTTAGACCCCATTCGGGTGACACCGCCAAAAACAGGATAACAATGTTCCTTGATTGACCATTCTGTAATTGTAGTAAATAAAGTATAACGAGAATGTACACAAAAATCTTGGAGAACCGGTTCTACCTAAACTATTCTAAAGGAACGCTTCAGAAGGCCATTCATATTGTTTGAATCAATTATATCCGTTACCGACTAATTCAGCAGCGCAAATGAAAACAAAACGTTGAACGATAAATTCACGGGATACTCGATGGGTAAACGTGGACAAAGTTCGTTGGGAACATCTGCAGTGTCAGGGAAATATCCCGCGACAATTATGTATTCTCCTTTTCCGTGCAATTTACCATCGACTCAGACTGGAGCCGCGCTAAAAGGAGAACACTCGTGGCTCCGGGATCTCGTCAGCAGCGTGCAAGACTAGCGTGCACGGGTCGGGGCACGTTTTAATTAAATTTTCACAACCACAGAGCCGCCAGGAATCCTCGTCGCGCGTAATAAAGCGTCTACGCGCCCGCGTGTACGTTCACGCCCGTTCGTGCGCAACAGGCGCACGCGCGTGCCCGATCCGAATCCGCACGAGCGGGTCGCGCCAGTCAGTTAATACTGTTTCACCTTTGTGCTCGCGTGCCAGCCAGAAAGAGAGTATTAACAACACCGTTGCGTTCCATCCCCTGCGGTAACGCTTAGAAAGCCGCTAGCATGATTAAGTTTGCGAGGCGGGTCTGAAACATTATTCGCCTAAAACCCGCCCGAGGGCACGGTTTCTTATGCAGCGACGCGTTGCGCCGCTCGCGTGCTTCGTCCTGCGGACAGAATCTCTCGCGACGGGCCATCCGGAAAGAAAATTCGTATCCTCTTCAAAGTGAATGTACAGCCTACGACAATCTTGTCCTATGTTATTTTTTCATATGTAATCTTAGGACGTTTATGCATAATGAATGTGCGAAAAACGTACATCCTCGTTCATACATATGTGGACACTTGATACTTTCAATGAGTTATTAATATACACCGTAAATTATTAATAGACAACTTTTATTGCTAAATACTATATCGGATGTGAATTTAACAACATGTAATAATATTAAATGTTTTGAGTGGCATATTCAATTTTATAGTGAAACTATGGGATCGTTTAGATCTAGAAAAGTTCAGAAAGGATGTTCAATATATCAAAAATATTTATGGCGAAATATTACAAAATAAATGAGATAATATTACTTCGGATACAATGAAGAAATTAATAGTATCCGAGTTTGTTAAAAGAAATCTTAACATTACCTAGTTATCTCTATAGATTTTTATCATTACTAATGTGATATTAAAAAAAAAAGTGTTAATAAAATATATTCGCTAATGCAATATAAGCAAATCGAAGCATAAATGATATAATTGATATTAATAGATTCGCAACTTTTATTGGATATTTATTTCTATTAAGGAAGAGACAACAGAGAGTGTGCATCGGTGAGTGTTGGGCCTGGTATGGGTGTGTACATGTTGCGGTCGCGTGTACAGCTAACAGGGATTCAAACAGTCCGCGCCGGAAATCACACCTGCAAATTTCAACTGCTTATATCTCGATAACGAAGCAGCAGTTCACAAATTGCTACAGGACTTTTCGATTCGTACTGGTGTCAGGAGCTAACCCCCCAGAACCGACCACATATTAAGAAACACCCTGTATATATTAGGTTGTCCCAGAAGTTTCTTTCGTTTTATTAATAATTAATATAACACAATATTTTATGTTTTATGTTACATTACTGAATTGTCTACGATTCATTTCGATTCATTACTGTTATAGCATCAATGTCTAAAAAGTTACATTGTCTATTTATAGAAACACTGCCACAGAATATAATTAAATACAACTCACGAAAGAAACTTTTGGGACAACCTAATACTTACTTTATCTTTGATCGGGAGCGTGGATCATTCGAAATGAACTCATTTGTTTCAGAAATAGATGAAGTCATAAATATGCATATTTAACAACGAATAACATATGCGGTAACATAATTGCATACACATTTAAATATAAAAATTGAAAACATACAGTGTCGAGTATATAAATAGGAAAAATTTTGTAGTAGTAAGTCATATTATAAGGAGAATAAGTGAAAACAAGTTCACAATACTTAAAAAAATATATATTTGGTATGCCGAAATGTTTAAAAGATTTAACAAAAGAGAAAGTTTATGTTAACATGTATTGAAAACAAAAATATAGTTCATAAGTAACGATAAATATTGTATAATTGGGATACTGGTCGAATATTTTTGTCTCGCAAGAAATGACGGTGATCTCGTTTAATTTACAATATAATTTGTTTATATCATGTTACATAAATGAATCGAACATATTTGTAAAGTGCTATTAATTATAGATAAAAATAAATTAGGGCTCAGTTATTCTCTAAGAAATAAATATATAAACTGGTAAATCCAATGATACCTTAGTATCTAAATATGTTTTGTTATTCACTGTATATACTGTATAATTGTTATAAAGATGTACAATTTTATAATGCCAAGTAAATGTATCACAGTTTATACGATTGATCAGACACACCTCATTTCTCGTGTCTACACATCTTGCACTCGGAGCCCTAAATAATACACTTTTTTGACAGCATCGATTTGTAAGTTCTCGTCACATCGGTACACCGCAGGCTACCATTAATCAAGACTTTAACGAGAAGTTTCATTATCTTTGAACAAGACCCTGGAATCGTTAATGAATCGGTAATTTAGTTGGAAAAGGTTCTCTTTGTCCTGTCCGCCTCATTCCAGCGATCCAAAGGGATGAAACGCACTCCTCGGGCTACTCGAGCACAAGCGATTCTCATTTAATTTGTCGATACGTGACCGCGGCGTTCCTTCGTTGGAGAGCATCGTCTCTATTACGCGATCCCCCTATCGAGGAAGGGAAAAGTTTCCTTTTATCCCTTCAATCATCGATAGTGGTTTCGAA